AAAATCTTCACCTGCTCTTCCTCAGACAAAGGTCCACTATCTCGAATCTATAAAGAACCTAAAAAAATCAGACCTCCCAAATTTAAAGACCCAGTCTGAAAATGAGCATCTGAAATGAACAGACATTTCCCAGACAAAGAAGTAGACATAGCAAATAAATACATGAAAAAATGTTCAACATCACTGTTCATTTGAGAGAGGCAAATGAAAACAATGCTGAGATTCCACTTCACTCCAGAAAGAATGGCTGCTATCATGAAATAAACCAATAACAAATGCTGGCAGGGCTGTGGGGAAAGAGAAACCCTGCTCCACTGCTGGTGGGAGTGTAGACTGCTGCAAATACTGTGGAAATCAGTATGGAGATACCTCAAAGAACTAGGACTGGAAGTCCCATTTGACCTGCTATTCCACTGCTGGGGATCTTCCCCAAAGAAGTAAAAGAATCATACCACAGTGATATATGTGCACCCATGATCATAGCAGCACAGTTTGTGATAGCTAAAACTTGGAAATAGGACAAATGCCCATCAACTGGAGACTGGATAAAGAAAATGTGTTTTTTATATAAAATGGAGTACTACTCAGCCATCAAAAATGAGAAATTGGAGATATTTATATCTAAGTGGATGCACATTGAGATGATACTCTTAAGTGAAATAAATAGGACACACATGAATAAATACCAAATAGTTTCTCTAGTGTGAGAAACAGAAAGTGTAAATAAGGACTAAATGTATAATAGGTAATGTGAAATAGGAAGAAGAGGGGAAAAGGGGAAGGAAGTGGGATGGCTGGGGAAAGGAGAGAAGGGAATGGGATTAATATGAGAAAATGGAAAAGTAGGAACAAAATCTTTGTAAATAGGGAGGAATGGAGGGGTTGAAGGGAGGGCTGGGCAAAGGTGAAAAATAAGAACCAAGAGAGACTATGTAAAGGTGCAAATTTCCAATGATGAATGTCAGTATATTGTATACCTAAAATGTACCAATGATGAGAATGAATAGTTGATAATGCAAAATAGGAAGAAAAGGTCCAAAGGGGTAGGGCAAGTGGGAGGGGCAGGGGAAAGGAAAGAAGGGAAAGGAAAAATGATGAGAAATGGAAAAAATGGAAATGAAGTCTTTGTAACCAGGGAAGGGTGGAGGGCGTGAAGGGAGGGCTAGGAATGGGGAAAAAATAAGAACCAAGATGCATTATGTAAAGGTAGAATTCCCAATGAGAAAAGTAATTGTGTTGTATACCTACAATGTACCAATAAAAGAATTTAATATTAAAAAAGAATAATAATAGTCCAAAGCAATATATATGAGTGAAAAATAAAGTGACACTCACAGAACAAAGGGAAATATTACATTTCAGTGTGATTGAACAGAGAAAAAGTAAGATAAGGAGCTACTACTACTAAATGTGAGAGAGAAAAGTGAATTAAACTGAATAAAGTTGGGGAAACAATATAATTAAATAGAGCAATCAAAGTTTTATAACTTTTTATTTTTATTTACTTATTTATTGGTACGGGGGATCATATTCAGGACCTTGTGCTTGCAAGGCAGGTGCAGTACCATTAAGCTAAATCCCTGGCTCTATTATAACTATTTAAAGTACCACCCATTAAAAACTGAATATAACCAATGTATTCACCATGAAGGAATTACAAAGGTATAAGTTTTTGCAAAAGCTAATTCATCTGAATCGATTACTGCCTATATGTCTGAATCAAAATGTCAATCTTTACTTAGGAAAGTTTTCTATTATGTCATTTAAAATTAAAATCAAATAAAGAAAAGAATATTCAAATATTTAAGAAGTCAAAGATGAATGAGAAGAAAATATATAGTGAGAATAATCCAGGACCAAGGATTTAGCTCAGTGGTTCTGCCACCTGCCTCCTAAGCACAAGGTCCCAAGTTCAATCCCTGGTACAAAAAATAAATAAATAAAAAATAAAAGAATAATCCAGGAGACAGTGTAGAAAGAGAAAGAGAAAAAGAGAGTAAAATAAAAGTGATGACTTAAAATGTGATGACTATTTCCCATTTGTAAAAGATCTATATACATATTTCATACTAAGAAAACAAAAACTGAAAAGAATTGTGATGACTAAGTAGTTAAAATATATCATGGTTTAAACTAAAAGGGAGTATACTTCCCTGCCTTCACTTTGGTTGCGATTGTGAAATAGTTGTTACAACCATTTCTCTGCCATCGTAAGTACCTCAAAACATGGCCCAAATGTGTTTCAATTATAGAAACTCTTGCCTAAGAAAAACTATCTCATGGCATCTTTCAAATGAATGCCTACTGAGGAGATATTGGCACAGAAATTCACCCTTAGTATTTCATTTGGATTAAATTGCAACATTATGTTGTAGGCACATAGTGTAATATTGGCTTCTAAATTTCTAAATCTATCTGTCTCAGTAGAATCTAAAATATCAATGAATAAAGTTTTGTCTAAACAAGTCCATTGCCAATAAAATACTTGACAGAAATACTCCTTTATCCACCACCACATAGTTCCAGGTATGAGAAACATTTCCTAGGAGATTCTAATATATATTTGTTCATGAATTCATGCAAATTTCACAATAATTTTTCTCAGATTCAAACTGTGCCTTATTTTATTCACTCTTTGCTTCCTCTTTTAAGACAAATAATGCTGAATGAAACATTTCACCTTCACTGTTATTTTCATTTCTTCTTACCCTTTTTAAGGCATCTGATTAGATTACACCAAAAGTGTTTGTCTATTGAATTCATTGCAAAAATTGATTTTAGCTTCAGGGCTGATTGACTCTTTCTGTTCTTTTACAAAAAAAAAAAAAAAAAAAAAAACACACTAGGGGAGTAACCCGCACTTTACAGCATGGACTAATAGATGCAGCAGGTGACAGAGTCAAACTGGTGTGGCGATTCTGACCCATTTCAGTGATGCCTTAAAATATCCATTTATCAGCTGAGAGCACTCAGTTTACTAAATGATGGACAGGACACTGTAGAATATGTAACACATGAATGTGTTGGTTAATAAGAGGTCAACCTCCCACAGTCATGGAATAGTATGCTATTTCAGCTATTTAATTAGGATGAGATTGAAGATACAGAATTATGATAATTAGGTAAATCTAGCATTATGCATCCAAATAACTTTTACAGGCACAAAGGAAAATACTTTGGAGAAAGCATTGTGTAAGGAAAATATTAAGGAGTATTGAATTGTTTCATGCTTTTCCTTGAATTTTGCTGTTTTCTATTTTTTTTAAATAAAGATGTCTTACTTCTATGGTCAAGTCATACTTTTAAGTATAAAATATTTCCTGGTGAGATTTTTATATTCCATCCTTTATATTGCTAGTCATAAATACACCTCTGGAAATATCTTCTCCAGCAACTTAGTCAAAAATTACTGACTGATCGCTTCAATGCAAAAGCTATTCTTTGCAAATCTATACATCATTTGTCACTTTGAAAAGGAAAAACTAAATTTCAGCAACAGTTTCAAGGATTACAAAAAAGAGTGTTTATGGATCTTTCCAAGGGAGAAAAAAAGCTTTTGTAAATTTAGTCCTTGAACTTTTGTCCTTGAAATCAGGCCAAGCAACCTTCCATGGAAATTATGCCCCAGGGATGACCAATGCCATGTTACTCTGAGTGCCCATTATATGAGTGCCTGGAGTTGTTATCAGGGAGGGAAGGAGCACACTGTTGTGTTCACATATACACTTCTGCCCTCAGATGCTCTCTGGATAAAACCTCTTAGAGTTTGCATTTCATCAAGAGCTGAACTGAATATAATTTACTTCAGAATACAAAAAGAAATGCACAAAACCATAAAAATAAACTGCATCAAGAAACTAATCTATTGGAAATTTTCAGCTGCTTATTTCTTTTTAGTATTTTATTTCTGAAAACAATTTGAGCCTGACAAGATTCTACAGAGACAAACAGGAAAAAATTTGTTTTCAGCCATTTTGTCTCACAGTAAGTATCAATCTTCATATTAGAGGGGAGTAGATTGTACAAAATGAGATGGAAATTTTGCCAGGAAAATTGGCACAGGTGTATCATTTAGGTCTTACTTTGAATAATTTTAAGATTTTTGAAACTAAATATAGAGTGGGTAGAATCAAAGGCTTCAGCAGGTGTACAAAGTTTGAAACCGTATTTTCAAATTAAATTAGATTTTGATCAATCAAGTTGGAAGAAGATACTGTTAACAGAGTTGTAGTTCTGTACTGCCCCTTGTCCCACAAAAAGTGGCAGAAAATTTTTTTGGTGGAAAGATAAGGATTTATTCACAGCTCTGTGAATGAGCAGGGTGGGGGCTCTTAGCTTCTCTGATCTGGATCTTCCTGTGCTCAGGGGCACAGGGGCTGTGACACCAGATCCCTCCAGGCTCCCTTCCTCCGGAGTCCAGATTACAGCAGACGCTGACCTCCCAGCGGCTCTGCATGCCCTGCTCAGAGGGACACGGTGTCTTTCTGGGCAGCAGGACTTCTCCCTGACTCTTCTGAGAGGAGGAGAGGCAGGGGTGGAGAGGGCCGTTCTCAGCAGTAGGATGCTGGAGAAGCAGCAAACCTTTACAAACCCTGATATTCAAAAATTAATTTGTTCTGCTATAATAAACAATAATAATTTGTGGATGTAATCTTAATATGCCTCACTTAAGTCCCTAGTAGTAAATTTAGTAGTAAGTTTTTCAAAAAGCTTTGAAAAGTAAGGGACAGTTACTAACACAATTAAACTGCTTTTAAACTACTTTATTAAATATCATCTATTTGGTTTGTCAAAAATCCTCATAACCAAGAAGAAAGTTTTCTAATGTGGTCAAAGTTTTCTTTGCAGTCGAACTATCTCGGTGGAATCACACTGTGAACATGGAATTGCTCACATTTCAGATGTTACTTTCTGTACCCTTGCTGTGTTATAGATTAGACAGATATGTACTAGTGACAGGAGCACATTGTCTTCACGAGGATTGAATATGTTAAATCAACATGGGTAAATGGAACTCCACAAGTGTTCCTGGCTTCATTCTCATGGGGCTGACGGACTCTGCAGAGACACAGCTGGTCCTCTCACTGCTCTTTCTCTTGATTTACCTGATCACAGTGCTGTGGAACACGGGGATGATACTGATCATTCGCCTGGATCCCCAGCTTCACACCCCCATGTACTTTTTTCTCACTCACCTGTCATTTCTCGACCTCAGCTACTCAAGTGTCGTCACCCCTAAAACCATAGAGAACTTACTGACTTCCACCAAGAGCATCTCCTTCCTGGGCTGCTTCACCCAGATGTTCTTTTTTATTCTCTGTGGTGGTACTGAGTGTTTTCTTCTCTCATCCATGGCCTTTGATCGCTATGTAGCTATCTGTAGCCCCCTGCACTATCCAGTCATTATGTACACAGGACTGTGCCGTGCCCTAGTAACTGGATCCTATATGTTTGGGTTTATAGACTCCTCTGTCAATGCAGTTTGTATGAGCAGACTGCACTTCTGCAACTCTAATGTCATCCATCACTTTTTCTGTGACACATCCCCAGTTTTAGCCTTGTCTTGCAGTGGTATATATGACCTTGAAATCACAATATTCATTTTTGCTGGCTCCACCCTAGTGCTGTCCCTTCTCACCATATCTGGATCCTATGTGTCCATTCTGTCCACTATCCTGAAAATTAATTCCACTGTTGGAAAGAAAAAAGCCTTCTCCACCTGTGCCTCCCATCTCCTGGGAGTCACCGTTTTTTATGGCACTATGATCTTTACCCATTTAAAACCTAAGACATCCTACTCCTTGGGAAGGGATCAGGTGGCTTCTGTGTTTTACACGATTGTGATCCCCATGCTGAACCCTCTCATTTACAGTCTCAGAAACCAAGAGGTGAAAAGCGCTGTTGTTAGAGTCCTGGAGAAGAGCAAGGACTCAAGGTAGTTAAAATAACAGTGATAATAAATATTTACAGTTGTCCTCTCCCTTTTCATTTTATGGAAATTCTTTTGTCACTTTTTGAAAACAAGTTTATGTATCTGATTTTGTGAGTGAGTGAGTGTGTGTGTGTGTGCACATATAAGTTTACTTCCTAAATTTTGCTGGACAAATTTCATAGTGTCCATCTACCTATTGACAATTATGAAATATTTTTGCATGCGGTTTCCTGTCTCAACTATATGTGTTATTCAAGATATTGTGAAGACCTCTAGATAAATCTAACAGGAATACCTGTAGTTGATCAAAATTTTATTAGTCATGCTAATATATGCTTAATAGTACACTGGGAAAGAAGACTTTGGGATGAAATGTAATGTCTTTCATTTCTGGATTTTCTGCTCTTCCCATCTGCGCAGGGTTGGTGTTAAACATCTCTGAATATGTATCTGAGCTCCCTACATGCTTGTCATGCTTATTCCTTTCTCCATATTTTGCTCAGAGTGAGATATTTCATATGGTCCACATGGTCCTCTTTGGAATTGGGGTTTTTGATGAATGTGAACTCAGACCTGGGAGAGGCTCACAGAAAAAATATACGATATTCTAGATTAACAGAATTTTTTAAAACAGGGCAGTGGAAGGCTCACTGTAGGTTTTCACATCCTATGTGGAAATGGAAATCATACACTCCTTTAAATCTTAACCACAGCTATCACCTCAAAGCTATCTTTGATAGACAACTTCACACATAACAGTGGGGCAGCATCTGCTGCACTTCTGAAGTGTGAGGAGAACTCACAGTCAGTGCAGTGCAAACTGTGCCAACCTAGGCTGCTTGCAGGCTGTGGCATTGTTTTTTCACTCCTGCCTTGCTTTATTCTTTCTTTCATTTTTTCTTTCTTTTTATGACTTTGTCTTATTAGTAACTCATGCCCCAAATCTGTTACTACATGTCTAAAGGAATGGAATAAATTACCAGATGCAGCAGAAATTGTTTCTTCAAAGCCTTTTAGTACGTTCTTTTTTCTCTTTTATTTCTACCATTGACTTAATGAAGATCATTAATACTTTCTATTTTTTGTGGAAATTGAATAATACAATTGGTAATTGAATATATCAAGTAACTCCTGCATTTTTGCATGCATGACAAGCTTAAAAGTAGGAGTTCTGCACACTCACAATTTAAGATCAGATTCAGACCTCACTGGGAAGAGCTATGTGCCACTGAGCATATTAGCTGTAATTAAACTTTTGGACAGTTTTTACATTTGTGATGAAAGGAAACAACATTTTGTTGGAGGTGTTACCACAGAAATTACATGAATACATGTAAAATATCAATATAATTATCCACTACCTAATACACTTTATGTCAGCGTGCATAAGTAGTCTTAGAAGAATGCTTCCTCAATCATTCTAAAGTTTCTCAACAGAACCTTTACAAGCCAGGAGACTTGGAATGTTGTGTTTCAACCCCTGGAAGAAAATATTTACCAACCTATTTAATTGTATCTTAAAAGATTGTCCTTCAAATATGATGCAGAAATAAAGCCTTTCTAAAAAAGTATAATCTAATGATATTTTTTCCATCTGGAACTTGGAGATACATTTCACAAAGATTAAGAGTTGAACAGTGGGTGTGGACTGGAGTGGTAGGTTAGTAAAAGACTGATAAACTATCCACAAAGGGGTAAAAGCACAGATTAAAATTAGAATAAACAGAAAAGAACCAATCACAGCACAGTGAACAACCTAATCCCGCAGGAACAAATATGATTCATTCACTATTCATCTTAAAATTTTGAAAGGAAATCACAAGTTCCAGGTACATTTTAAAGCCTTAGAAATACAGCTGTGAGGCCAAACATACACAGTATCTATCTTTTGAGCATTGCAGCAACATAATAGTGGATCTAATTTGTAATCCATACTCATAGCCAAAAATATTGAAATAGAACTTTAAAGGGATTAGCTAGGAAAGGCGTGTAAGGACAGCAAAATGAAAGAATTATTTTAAAGGAGTAAAAAGTGCACAAATGAAATATTATTAAATTTAGTTTCATAAAATACCATTATTTTATACTTTTTATACTTTATACTTTCTATATTGATCTGGAAACAGTAAACGGTAGGAAACTGATTTTCCTCAACATTTGATTTCTGTGGTACTGGTATATAAAAGCAGACTGTAGAACCTTATTGGGACATAACTGAACATCATTTCTTGTTGAATTTTTTTTAAACAATATGAAGCAGCTTGATGTGGGTATCCATGAGATCACTCCACTTTATTGATCTCCTCTTTGTATTTTCCAAATTCTCTTTATTTTGTTTAAACCCAAACAACAACACACTGATATCTCAAAAGTAAATCATGACTAAAACATTTCTTTAACAAATTTGGAAGCCCAGTGTTTATGAGGGAAATCTAAAGTGGTTCTTGAACACTGGAAAATTTCTGAATTTTAAAGTAAAAGAATATGTTATTTTTTCCAGAAATCTCTCCTAAAACATTATGATCAGGAAAATGAATTTGATGTTTTCAAATATTATCATTTTATAACACAGAATCTTACCTACAATGACTACTCCATGTTATGTCTGTGAAAATTGGATTTTTTAATTTTAAATTTTTTTTCTAGTATAGGGTGTCAAACTCAAAACTGTGCTAAATCCCAGTCCAGAATGTTGAGTGTAGAATCTGCTTCCAAACAACTTTTATGTCCAATAAAGATGTGTGATCTAGATATGCACAAATAACCAGAAGAAGTAAGAAGCAGAAGTACCAAAAATATTAATTTGAGTCTCTAATGTACATTTATGAATTAACTCTCTAAACCAATGTTATTTTGATTGCTATATTCTGATGAAATATCCCTGTGAAAATCACAGCACAATCACTTCTTTTATATTTACATATATTTTACATATATTTCATATATATATATATAATAAATGAAGCAGAAGGAGATGGAAGTTAAAGAGAAATGAGTTTGTTTCTATTTTCAGGTCCTTGTTTATTAGATATAAATACTGTGCACAAAAAACAAACCCAAGGCCATTCTTCATTATAGATCATATACAAGGATATGAGCAAAGACCCGAACTTGGGAACAAGAATTGCAACATCAAATGAACTCTGCAGTCCTGGTAACAGCCATGTAGCAGCCACTTGTAGATTTCTCTCTAGGATATATGTTTTATCATTTGTTATTATCCTTAGGTACAAACTCAATAAACATTACTGTGCAGCACCAGTCTACCTTCTGGGATTTCAAGTGGATTTTATCACTTTCTGTGATTAGGCTGTAAAAAAGGAAGATCTCTACTAACAGAATATTTAGGTTCTTGATAAAAGGGGGACAAAAACTCATACAGACATCTGGTTTTATTTGTGCATGTTAGGATAAGTTGGGCAGTTGTAGTAATGTTTAGCAGAAGAGTAATGAAAAATTAGGAATTCCATTTTAACACATGTGAGAACATTTCAAGCCATAGAATCCAGAAAACATCTTTTGTAATATTAATTTAAATTGAATTTATAAGAAGACTGACTTAAGCAATATATCACCACCTATTATTATTTAATATACATAAGTGTAAACAAAGGTATATGTATACTTAAAATGTCATATACAGACATTTCTCACATACTACACTAGATGACCAATTAATGCTTTATTGGAAATATTCTGGGAATATAAGTGCTATCAAATAAAAGCAAGAATTTTTTTCTAGATTCTGACCAGAGATATATAGATCTACAGTCACTATTATTTTAGACTTAATAATTTTTAAAAATTCACTTTAGTTAGAAACCAATTTCTATGAAGAATTTTTCATTGCCTTTTTTACCTCTTTATTCCTCAAACTATATATGATGGGGTTCAGCATGGGACTGACAATGGTGTAGAATATGGACACTACCATATTGCACTCCAAGGCATAGCTGGAACTTGGTATCTCATATATGAAGAGGATTGTCCCATGATAAATGGACATGCTGGCTAGGTGGGAGCCACACAGCAGAATGCATCCTCAGAATGGCCAACAGGATGAAGCCATAGGAGATGAGGACAATCAGGATGGTGACCACCTCAATGACCCCCATGCAGTAGAAGAATAGAAGCTGGATTGTGTATCAGAACTGGAGATAGTGAGGAAAGGAGGGATATCACAGAACAAGTGTCTAATTTCACTAGATCCACAGAAGGACAGGCTAAATGTGGCCCCAGTATGTACCATGGCAAGTAAAATGCCACCAGCATAAGAAACCATGATCAGTGGAACAAAAACTCTGGGTGACATCCTTACTGAATAGAGCAGTGGGTTGTAGATGGCCACGTAGTGCTCATAAGCCATATCCACCAAGAGAAAGCACTCTGTGTTCCCCAAAGCAAAAAAGAGAAGCATCTGTGTGGCACATCCAAGAAGTGAAATGGTTTTATCCTTTGTCAGAAAATTGACCAACATTTTGGAGGTGACAACTGTGGAGTAGCAGGCATCTAAGAATGATAATACACTGAGAACATGGCTTTGTGTAGCCGGATGTCACTGATGACCAATGCTGCAAGACTCAAATTTCCTACTAGAGTGAAAAGATAGATTTCTAGGAATAGGGAAAACAGGAAGACTAGCAGGGTGAAATCATCTGTGAAACTGATCAGGATAAATACAGTGACTTTGGTCATGTTGCTCAAATGAATCACTTTGAATCCATGGGGTTTTTTTAAGCATTCCTGATATTTCAGTTATTATTTACATGTCTTAAAGGCAATATCTGGAGAAGATCGAGTGTATTCCATCATATTCATGCATTTATATTTGGGGAAGGGTACAGAAATGCTTGTCATTGAGAGAAATAAAGCAGCAATGAAGAAGTCCAGACCAAATCATCAATTATTATCTTCAGTTACTGAATTGAATAAATTATGTTATTTGGTTGTAAACTAAATGCATCTTATTGAAAGAATCTGTCCATTTAATGTGTTGAGTTTTCAATA